CATCATGGCCACCACCATCATGGCCACCATCATCACGGCCACCACTATCATGGCAATCACCATCATGGACACCACCATCATGGCCAGCACCATGGCTACAACCTTCATGGCCACCATCATCATGGCCATACCCATCCCACCGTCATGGCCACCACCATGGCTACAACCTTCATGGGCACCACCATCATGGCCACCACCATGCCTACTGCCAAGGCCATCACCACCATGGCCATCACCATCATTGGCACCACCATCATGGCCGCCACCATCATGGCCACCACCATGGCTACTGCCAAGGCCATCACTGCTATGGCCACCACCATCATGGCCATCAACATCATGGGCACTACCATCATGACAATCACCATCATGGCCACCACCATGGCTACAACCTTCACGACCACCACCATCATGGCCAGCACCATGGCTACTGCTAAGGCCACCACCATCATGGCCACCACCATCATGGCCCCCACCCTACTGCCAAGGCCACCACTGCCATGGCCATCACCATCATGGCCATCAACATGGCCACCACCATCCTGGACACCACCATCATGGCCATCACCATCATGGACACCACCAATGCGACTGCCATGGCCATCACCATCTTGGCCATCACCATGGCCACCAGCATGGCTACTGTCAAGGGCATCACTGCCATGGCCAACGCCATCATGGCCAACACCATCATGGCCATCACTATCATGGCTGTCACAGCCACCACCCTGGCTACTGCCACACCATCATGGCCACCATCATCATGGCCACTACCATGGCTACTGCCAAAACCACCATCTTCATGGACATCACCATGGGTACTGCTGTGGCCATCACTGCCATGGTCATCATCATCATGGCCATCACCATGGCCACCACCTTCATGGCCATAACCTTCATGGCCATCACCATGGCTACTGCCAAGGCCACCACCGCCATGGCCAACACCATCATGGCCATCACCATGGCTACAACCTTCACGGCCACCACCATCACGGCCACCACCATGGCTACTGCGAAGGCAACCACCATCATGGCCACCACCTTCATGGCCATCACCATGGCCACCACCATGGCTCCTTCATGGCCATAACCTTCATGGCCATCACCATGGCTACTGCCAAGGCCACCACCGCCATGGCCAACACCATCATGGCCATCACCATGGCTACAACCTTCACGGCCACCACCATCACGGCCACCACCATGGCTACTGCGAAGGCAACCACCATCATGGCCACCACCTTCATGGCCATCACCATGGCCACCACCATGGCTACCATCATGGCCACCAGCATCATGGCCACCACCCTGGCCATCACCATGGTTACTGCCCTGACCACC